CGTTGTCTTGTATTCCTGAGTAGGACATAAACCCTAACAAAATACGAAGAAATAACTAAAAACAGAGTCCTTTCGCCCCGCCGTCAAGGACCGGGATCCATCGCGCCACCGTAGCCTAAGGCAACCGAAGACCAGCCGGACCGGCGGCGCCGCCGGCAGGAGGTAGTGGAACCCATCAAGGGTTGTGTACATCTGTGTCCATATTCTTCTCTATGTAAGAGAGAAACATCAAGAAGAATATATTTGCTTGAACCTTTTCGCCAATGGGCCGATTGCATGCTGGCTGTCGTGCTATGCCTGTCTGGAGAGCATGGCGGACAGGGCGAGCGCCGCGAAGGCGAGGAAGCCCAGGACAATGGACGCGCCTTAAGGGGCGAGGGAATTTGACACGGCGTTGCCAATCTGTCCTTGCACCAAGATTCGTGCGCAGCATCTTGTGGACGTCGTTGCGTTCACTCAGAAATATTGTGAATTCACGTCAGTTGTGTAGCATTTAGGTAAAATTGTGAGATAGAACGTTGGGGACGGGGTGTATGCATACACAGTGGAGCCACCCTACCAGGGTTGCCAGTATTGTTAGGGGTGGGCACACTCACACCGAAAACCGAAAAACCGAACTGAACCGAACCGATTTAACCAATTTATGTGTTTATTCGGTGTATGGTTTTTTGGTTCGGTGGCAATTTTATTTCCTATTCGGTGTTCGGTGCAACTTCGGTTTCATGCAGTCACAAACCGAAATCACCGAAGAAACCGTTGTTTTCTATGATGGCCAGCCCACCCGTACGTGATTGTGGCTGTGACCTGTGAGCGGCTGAGCGCAGCCCATTTGTCCTTCGGCCCAACAGCCTCTGATTTGCCTAATGTATAGATATAAATCATCCGACGTCCACATGTACGTGAAACCCTAGTCACCGCCCATCGCTCGATCCTTTCGTCAGGCGGTGCCCTCTCCTCTCCAACCCTAGACGCCAGATCAGCTACTCATCGAGTCGGCTCCGGCGAGTCAGCGTTCGGCGGTCAGCAACAAATCCTATGGTTGAGACGGACGTAAGCCATCCGCTTGCTTCTCCAAGTTCTAATCTCTCAAATCTCAGTACAAGTACCTAGTAAACTACGAACGTAACTCCATGCAAGTGATCAGTTTGATCTACTACTAGTAGGAATATTTTAGTATTGTTTTGCATGAAACAATTGCCATGAGAGCTAGTGTATCAGCAAGTACTTGTACGATTTCTATCCATAGATCTTCTCGTACATGTGCAGTGTGCGTGCGTAATATAACAAATTATTTATTAGTCTATGGTTTAGTGCATGTGCTTATTCTGATCCATATGTTCTTAGACATAAGCCAAAATGCTTCTAGAAACGTGAGTACGTACCAGCTAGATGCGGCGTAAGGCGGCTGGAAAATCAATTAAGGTGCCTGTGTGCTAGCTTCCTTAGGCTAGCTTGCAATTGTAGGTATATAGCTCCTGGGGTGAATCCATCTAGCAGTTAAAACAAACATATATAATACGTATCAAATTCCTTAAAAATGGTACAAAATGAAAGCTGCACACTTAGAGGTATCACATGTATTCTCCCTTATATAATACTTTTCATGTTCCACATGATCTTATGTTTTATACACAGTACAGTTGTTTGCTTAACCGAATTGAACAGTGACTAATCATATTCTTGTCTAATTTGTAGATGTCAGAACCAAATGAAGACATCGCCAATCAAGAATCTGAGAGCTTAGCGGTGGTCACAGAGGGAGAGCAGAATGAGAATAATGGGCAGCAACCGGATGCATCGGAGAATGCTAAGAAGGAAGTGGTGATGCCCAAGAAAAGGAAAGAGATGGAACCAAGATCAGAGGTCTGGGATAGTTTCACCAAGATCGTAGAGGGAGATGTTTTGAAGAGGGGCAAGTGCAACTACTGTAAACGTGAGCTTAAATGTGAAACAAAAATCAATGGTACATCTGCCCTAAATTCTCATTTAAAGATATGCAAGAAGAATCCTAATAGGAACAAAGATGATAAGCAACCTACTTTGCAAGCTACACGAAATGAAGGGGATGGTAGCAAGTGTACACTTACTGCTTGGAGGTTTGATCCTGAAATGCTTAGGAAAGCTTTTGCTGAAATGATTATTACAGATGAGCTCCCTTTTGCATTTTCTGAGAAAGAAGGGTTTAGAAAGTTTATGTCCAAGGCATGCCCACGTTTCAATGTGCCGTCTAGGAGAACAACTACTAGGGAAGTTGTTAGCATGTTCAATGTGCAGAAACAGAAGCTGAAAAAAATCTTTAAGGAATCATGCGAAAGAGTATGCCTCACCACTGACACATGGACTTCTGCCCAGAAGCAGAACTATATGTGTGTTACAGCACATTTCATTGATGGTGACTGGAAGCTACAAAAGAAGATAATTGGGTTTTTCTTAGTGAAGGGACATAGGGGGGAGGACATTGGGAAGGACTTGGAGAGATGCTTAGTAGATTGGGGGCTTGATAAAGTTTTCACAATAACTGTTGACAATGCTTCTGCTAATGACGGTGCTATAAATTATATCAGGAGGGTTATGAATAAAGCCAAAAGTAGTATTGCTGAAGGGAAGTATTTTCACATGAGATGTGCTGCGCATATTATAAACTTGGTGGTTACTGATGGACTAAAGGAAATCGACCTTTCAGTGGCACGTGTGCGAGCTGCTGTAAAGTTTGTGAAGAACTCCCCTGCTAGAATTACAAGGTTTAAGAAATGTGTTGAACTAGAGAAAGTTAAAAGTAAAGCCTTTTTGTCATTGGATGTGCCTACTAGATGGAACTCAATATACCTTATGTTGAGAGCTGCAGCAACGTATGAGCAAGTTTTTTATAGGTATGCTGATGAGGACCCGTACTATGCACTTGATTTAAATGGTGAGAAAGGTCCGGGAGTTCCAGAAGCCGCAGATTGGGATAATGCAAGAAAGATGACAGAATTTTTGGAACACTTCTACAAGCTTACTGTCCGTGTTTCCGCGTCGCTACACTGTACAGCTCACATATTTTTTCATGAGATAGCCGATGTTATCATCTTGTTGCGGCAATGGTGTGAAAGCGAAGATTCTTTGCGTAAGGACATGGCTAAGAGGATGATAGCTAAGTACAATAAATATTGGGGGGATCATAAAAGCTTCAACATCCTTATTTTTATTGCGGTTTCTCTTGATCCAAGGTACAAGTTGTCAAATTACATAAAGATAGCTATTCTGGAGATGTTTGGTGAGACCCAAGGGCAGGTAGTTTGGACTGAAATAAGTAAGACGCTTCACGAGTTATTTGAAGAATATGGAAAGATATATGCTCCAAGTGATAAAGTGCAGCCGTCCAATGTAGCACAAGAACCTGAAGCCCGTGGCACAAGTTTAATGAAGTCCTTGATTGCTCAAAAGATGAGGACGAGCACTTTTGGAATTACTGCTAGTAAATCTGAACTTGAGAAGTACCTTTCCGAGGAGAATGAAGAAGATGGCAGCAAGTTTGACATTCGTGAGTGGTGGAAGGTCAATTCTTCTAGATTTCCAGTATTGTCACATTTGGCCCTTGATGTTTTAGCAATTCCTATATCTACGGTTGCATCGGAGTCGGCCTTCAGCACTGGTGGTCGTATTTTAGATCCATTCAGGAGCTCCTTAACTCCATTTATGGTCCAAGCACTTGTCTGCACACAAGATTGGTTGAGGGGATCTATTGCTGTAAATGACGAAGAGGACACTGCAGAATTAACTAAGCTAGAGGAAGGTAAGTCAATAATTTACTTGAGTTATTTTTGTTAGACTTCTCCTATGTCACTCATGAATTAAATATCATTTACTCATATTTTCAGCATTGCTTGAAGAAATAAATGGGCTCAATATTTCGAAGAACAACTCCAATAAGGATAATTCGGTCATCATGGATGATCGTACTTCCTAAACATGGTGCGGTTTCTTGATAACTTTACTACCTATTAGTTACAGCCTATCAGGTTCAAAAATATACATCTTTTTCATGCAGTTGCTATTGAGGTATGCTAATAAATTTATTGTACAAAATCCTCAGATGTTTGCATCCCACAAGGTTGCCGTATGGAGCCATGGAAGTAGTACTGCAGATCTGAGATCTTGAAGCCTTGCTCCTGTGATGAAGTCCCATTTATTCATGTTTCTGTCACCAGTCAGCTATTTGATAGCCTTTTGTTTGATTTCCCTCCACTTGTGTGTGAGAAAATAAGAATTATGCTATTTGCTTTTGCTGCTACATAAGTGAGACTATTTGATATATTTACGTACGTGAGACTTTATTCACTATCCATTTATATATATAGCAAAGTTGTGTCTTTCATTACAGCCAACGATGTGACATTTTAACTATCATATATTCATATTTTCTGTTAAGGTTGCTAGCTCTTGTGATTATTATTTGTATATTTTGTGCAATGCAAATAGCTACTCATATAAGTGGTGGCTCTGATTGGTGCACGTACTTCGGTTTTCCGGTTAACCGAATAAACCGAACCGATATATTTAGGTTAATATGGTTCGGTTGCTAATTTTTGTTTGATTATTTCGGTTGCCATTTCTCTAAAACCGAAATTATAAAAAACCGAATAAACCGAACCATAATAACCATATTAACCGAACGCCCAGCCCTAAGTATTGTTTTGGGAAGAATGGGGCGCCGCAAATAAGTACTACAGATTAGTAAGGCCGCTATTAGTAGTAAACAAACAACATTGGGGTGGTGGCGCAATTGGCTAGCGCGTAGGTCTCATAGCTAACCGTTGAGTGATCCTGAGGTCGAGAGTTGGAGCCTCTCTCACCCGAAACGCCCTAAAAAGTGGTGATGAAAATGCTCTCTTGACAACTTGGGTCGTCATGCAAACATCTGATCTTCAGATGCCACGAGCAACTCTGAACTTTGTTCTTTTTTGCCTTTTTTTTTGCTCCTGGGTCTAACTAATTTCTTCTACAGAAGAGTATTCACGAGCTTACTCTGAACTTCACGAGCTTACTCTGAACTTTGTTTTCCCTTTGCTTTTCTCCTGGATTTAACTAATTTTCTTCTGCAACAACCATGGATGGATGTCACGACCCACGATAGGCCGACTGCATGCTGGCTTGGCTATCTAAGCTAGTCGTGGTTGTGTTACGCCCGTCTGGAGAGCATGGCGGACAGGGCGAGCGCGGCGAAGGCGAGGGAGGAAGCCCAGGACGATGGACGCGGCATGGCGTCCGTGAAGACGTTGACCACCGCCGACCTCATGCGGATCGTGATCGGGAGAGCCGCCGCCGACGCCGTGACCAGCAGATACGCCACCGCCTGCATTCATCCAGATCATGGGAATATTTCAACTGCGTGTGGAAAGCCGTGCTTGTATGGTTTCAGATGAATCGGCGGTCCGGTCTCCACTGAGCTTCATCCAACCAGCTTAGGCAAAATCGAACGTCTTTTACGAGGCGGGCAGACGGACCGTGGGTCATCCCGTTTTAGAGCACTGGGCTTTTCGTTTGGGCCATATCAAGGCACACACGTAGAGTTGTGGTGTTGACATTAAAATACAGTACGGTTTTTTTAGGACCACATCGCTTACGAAGAGATGGCAGCAGTTTATATGCATGTTTCGTGACGTGGTGGTCACCAGGCAGCAAGCCTGGTAAGCTATCTCAAAAAACAACAACCAGCAGCATAATTGGTTATAGGCATGCAAGCGCCTCCCAGGGTCGTGGGACGCCATGATTGTAGTACAACTTGCCATGCAAGCTGCTCTCAGGCAACAATGAGCCCTGATTGGAAAACTTGACATGCTATATACCACTCCGACATGGAGTGGCTGAGCCTTTTTTTTTTGAATTCGAGAATATACTCAGTTTTTTGAGAGAATTAAAAATAATGTTTAAGCCTACTGCCTTCATTCTTATCCAACATAGCGCAAACTACTCAAATAATTATTTAAACTTAGGCCAAGAACATAGTGCAAATACTATCAGGCAAATATTATTGTCGAATATGTCGGAGTATTTGACATGTCACACCACTCCGACATGCAGTGCCTGAGCTATTTTTTATTTCGAGTTCGACAATATAATCAGTTTTTTGAGGGAATTAAAAAAAATGTTTTAGCCTACTGCTTTTATTCTTGTCCAATATAGTACAAACTATTTGACATGGTAAGTGGGCAAGGAATATATATTTTATCCATAAGAAAATTGAATATGCAGTGATGCTAAAATATTGATTAATAATGGCGCGATATCAACCTTGCATGACTGATCTCGCTCAGCATCATACCTACGGGCCTTGAGATTTTCAAGCTGTTTGCCACAAAGTATAGGTTACAAGAAATTGAACTTTTTTTAGGGTTACACAAAATTGAACCGCAATATAGTAATTGCATTATTGTAAGAACACAACGTGTGCATCTTGTTTACAAAGTAAAACAGGTTTTTTTAGTATAGATAGTAGATTGTTTTGGCATGGTAAGTTGAACAAGAAAATGCAATGGATTAAAAACTTTAATTGTGCTCACTGTTGTCTAGGGAACCTTGGGACATTCCCAACTGTTTGCCACTGGGTATAGCTAACAACGAACTAAAACTAACTGACATTATTCTCAAGTGGGCTGCTATGCGTCGACCGGCGGATATTTTTAAAAGATCGGTCGCCCCGCGAGCCGTCGGATATGACAAAATCAAGCGGTTGACTTTCTTTCTCTTCTTTGCAATAATGATTTTGTCGCGGAAACACTTGTAACAAAGATTGTGTTGCGGGATGATTTTTTTTTTGCAACATAGTCCGTGTTGCAGAATTGTTTTCATGTCTTCACTTTTTTTTTTGCAACAAAGGTATTGTTACAGAAAAACTTTGCAACTGAGGTGATGTTGCAGATTTTTTTTATTTGTCTTCGCCTCTATATGATGTTATGGAAGAAAGTTTCGCAAGATGACTGATGTTGCAGCTTGCAACACACTGGATGTTGCAAAACAAAACACCACCGTCATTCGCCGTGAGCCCGCCGGATGGTGGTGAGGGAGGAGCGGCGCCGCCCGCCCCCACCACCGCACCGCCGAACCTCCAACCAAGTCGCCTCGACACCGCTGGCGAGCGCCAGACCTCCGACCAGGTCTCCTTTGGTCCGGTTTAGTTCATATATTTTAGTTCAAATATGTCTGAAATATAAATGTTTTCGTCCGGTTTAGATGAAAATTATCTGGTTTGCATGTAATTTGTCTCCTTTGGTCCCACATCAGTGTTTGTGTATTGGTCCCCCTCTCCACCGATCCACGGACAAATTCGGTGTTTGGGAGTCAGCATTGGAGATGCCCTTAACTAGAGTAGTGTACCTCTTTTTTTTGGAATTTTGTTGATTTATTCATCTTCAATCATGGCAGTACAACAAACACAAAAAATAATAAAAAATGCATCTAGATCCGTAAACCACCTAGCGACGACTACAAGCAATGAAGTGAGCCTAAAGCGTGCTGCTGTCATCGCCCCTCCATTGCCAGAGCTGGACAATAGTTGTTGTAGTAGACAGTGGGAAGTCATCATGCCAAGCCCCCATATGACCAGCACACCAGAATAGCAACCGTCGTTGAAGAATAGATTGGAAGGATCCAACATGAAGACACGTGAACGTAAACAAACTATGACCAAATCGAAGCAAATCCAGATCCGTCGGACACACACCTCCACATATCCACCAACGATGCTATGGCCATCCAGTCTTCGTGGCGTCTGGAGGCGACGAGCGACATGGCCACGAGAGCCAGGAGCGCGGCGCCGGCGCGCAGCACGAGCCATGCTTGTATTGGTTTCAGATGGGCAGACGGCCCGTGGGTCACCCCGTTTTATAGTTCCGTTTGGGCTATACAAAGGCACGTACGTAAGGTTGCATGTCTCAAATAAACGTACGTAAGGTTGTGCTGTTGATATTACAATACAGTACCCTTTTTTAGGACCACATCGCTTACGGAGAAGAGACGGCAGCAGTTTATATGCATGTTTCGTGACGTGGAGTTCACCAGGCGTCAAGCCTGGTAAGCTATATCTCAAAAAACAACTACCAGCAGAATAATTGGTTTATCGGCATGCAAGCCCCCTTGCCATGCAGGCGGCACTCTGGCATCAATGAGCTCTGATTGAAAACCTTGACATGCCACACCACTCCGACATGGAGTGCCTGAGCTTTTTTATTTATTCCGAATTTCTGACGTTACACGATTCATGAGATGTTTCAACCTATTTGCCACCAAGTATAGGTTACGTTTTTTTAGATAAAACTGCAATATAGTAGTACTCCCTCTGTAATTACGGAGGGAGTAATTGCTATTGCAAGAACACAACATGTGCATCTTGTTTACAAAGTAAGTTTTTTACTAGTATAGATAGTGGATTGTTTTGGCATGGTAAGTTGAACAAAAAAATGCAACGAATTTAGAACTAATCTTCATGCTACAAATGTTGACCATGGGCAGAATAATTCTGCTCACTGTTGTCTAGGGACCTCGTGACTTTTCCTACAATTTTTCTGTTGAGTATAGCTAGCAGCGAACAAAAATTAAGTGACGTTATTCTCATGGACATCATGAAGAAAAACATATTGACACCATAAGATTGCTGGTGAGAGAAGATTTGGAAATGACGCAAGCATTTTGAAGGACCCAATTAAACTATAGGTTATTAAGGTTTTGGCAACTACGAACTTCTAATGTTTAAAATTACGACGCCAAGACACATCTGGCGTTCCTCCTGGGGTGTGTTTACAGTGAACGATAGTTCCCTCAGCGAGGGGGGAACAATAGAACACACTCATTTGCTCGGAGATCCCCCCCCCCCCTATCAGGCCCCTACTGGGCCTCTCAAGCATCAGCTTGCTGGAAACGAAATCTATTGTTTTTTTTTGCGAGAAAATTTCCGATCTATTCATCTTCAAT